AAAATAGGGAGAAGGGGGGGTGGGGCGGGTAAAGCAAGGCGGCCTCCTTCCAGACTGCACCCCCAGCCCTTACATTCCTGGAAGCGACGGGATGCTTGTGCTGGAGCCCGGGAGCGCGGAGGCAGAGGGGTGGAAAAGCCAGCGCTGACAGCCATCATGTGACCCAGCTGTCAGCTCCTGCCACCTGGAGCCGCCATCCGCCGCCACCAATCCCAGCGCCCACCCCTGCGCACCATTTCACCATCGAAATAAAGGTCGTTAAATCTTTAACTATACGGGGTCTCGCTTGCATGCGTGCCGGGAAAGGGGGCAGAGGTGCCTACGGGTACCGATGCTTGCCGCCTGCCTTCGCGTCGCCGGTTCGCAGCTCTTCGGCGTGTTTGCAGGCTGAGTAAAACCAGCTCTGCTCCGGGTATCGCCGCAGCACCCACTCCCCCTCCCCATCGGCTCCTATAAGAACAAAGAAAGCACTGTATGCCCTGTAAGGGCTCATTAATATTACAAGTGAAGCATCAGGAACATGCAAGACAACTGGATGGCAGTATGTAGGGGGTTTTTAGGGGGAGGAAAAAAAAATAAATAAAAAAAGATGTGAAATAATGCCCAAAAAGAAATCCTGACCAACCTGATAGCTGCAAACAAGGTCTCAGGGTTGCTCTTGTGGTAACCCGGGCCATGCTAGGAAGGCTGCCCAGTACATCACAAAAGCAAAGAGGTTGCTATTTAAAGAACTTTTTTCTCTAAATTGTGGGGGAGGAGCGAGAGAGATGGACAGAGAAGCGAAGAGGGAACCAGGCATCCAAAAAAGTAGCGCACACATTAAAAGCCATCAAGTATTGTCACAGGCATACGTGGGGCTAATCATTCATACTATTAATTTTGTATTATCTTTGGACAAAGCTCAAGAAATCTATAAAGGCAGGAGACTGTAGCATCATAGCTGCTACTACAGGTTTTTTCAGTGTCTGAAATCCTGCAGGTTTTGCCAATATTTCAAAAACAAAGGCAGCAAAAATCCATTTATCATCAGGCAGCAAAAATCCATTTATCATCAGGATCTCCTGTGCCACTGCATCCCACAACGCAAAGTTTAGGACTATCAACGATCCCCCTCTATCACAGGGTGGGTGAGCTGATGGACCTCTTCATGGGCTCTGGTCCCAAGACCCAACAATCCCAGCATGCCTGGTCGATATCTTGCCACCCAGGCCGGATACCACCAGAGAACACCGAGCTCCCTCTTCTGCTACACATCTGCTGGATTAAGTTCAGGGAGAAATCCTTAATCTACTGAAACAACAGCAGTTTTGCTGCTGATTTATAGGAAGGTAATATTTTTATGTTTGGTGCTGGGCAAGTGTTTTGACACAAACACAGTAAAACTAAGAGATAGATACTTCCTTGTTTCCAAATCCAAAACCACTGGTCTTTTGTGACCATGAGTGTTTTAGAGGAAATTTCTCATTTAGAAATGAAGACTTGAGGTCCTGACCCCACACAGACATACGTGATAGACTTAGCTCCTCGTAAGTGACTAGTTCCAGGGAATTCAATGGAATTACTCACATGAGCAAAATTGGGCATGTGCTGTTTACAGGACCCATGCCTTAAAACCAAATTTTGCCTTTAAAGCTTAAACTGCCAAGCCTTGGGAGTTGTAAGCAATAACATTTGACCTCTCCTACCTTCTTGATCTAGTGAAAGGAATGTGCTGTCCACAGTAACCTTCTTTACCTGTGTGGCAAACGCATCACTCTCTAAAGGTTACTGATGTCAAAAGTGACCTTTTTTTCTTAGACATGCAATGGTGAGAAGTTCAGTGCAATGTATTATGTAAACATTTATTTACAGGAGTAACATCTAAGGTTTCCATTTTACCTCAGGGTAACCTGATGCGTATTAAAGACAAGTGCTTTGAAAGCGGACCCAGCCTCCATCCAACAACTGACCAGGAAAACCATTGGAAGGAATTCCTCTTCAAATAGAGACAGGCTCAAAGTGTATGGAGAATAAACAGTGCTTTAGCCAGGCCAGTGAATACTTATTGCTTGAGGAAGGACTTCAGATACTCAATGTCGATTCAAACACACTGTCACCATTCCCACATCCAAGAAAACAGTCAGGCCTCTAAGATTAAACACGCACCATCCTCCTCTCTAGGTGTATATCCAGGCACAGGGAACATCCTGTTTACTGACCTGGAACAGAGGAAGTAATTTTTCAAAAACAATGTCTGTTTCTAAATTTCTGAGGACAGTTCTAGTCACACGAGTATGTACCTACGGTACTTTAAACCTGGGTCCAAGCCTGCACTGGCTTGGACCACTTGCACCCAAGCCTGGGTCCAAATCCAAACCTGTGGCTGCCAACTGCAGACGCAAAGCCGTGCTGAGGGGAGGTTCAGGCTCTGCGGGGATGGGTGAACACAAGGCGGGTGCGCAGGACTGTTGCCCACCCTGCTCCACCGACAGCAGCTCGCAGCGCAGAGGGGCACAGCACAGCCCCTCAGCCACTCCTCCTCGCTGCTTAGCTGCACTGTTTCTGGCGGGAGGAGATAAAAATAAAACCCAAAATGGGCCATTGGTTAGTAAAAAAGCTACAATTACAATATTGGCTGTACTCCAGATACAGTAACTTGTTTTCACGTATGCTGTGAAAGCTTTATGAGGTTTGCAATAGGGCTACGGCCTCTATGGTTGAGAGGTATCTCCAGAAAGGCAGCTTGCTTTTTTTTTTTTTTTAACCCCCCAAAAAAGTCCCTCATTTACCACCTAGGCAGTATTTGGCTTTGGCAGGAAATACGATTCTTTCTCTCTTTGAAAGGGTGAGGGATGGAGGTTTTTTGTGTGCGCGTGTGTAAATTTGAACTTGGAAAACAAAGCTGGTAATATTATCCAGCTTCAGAAAAACACTTAAGTCCAAAAAATAGTGTGATCAAAATCTCCTGCCTTAGCCCATCACCTTCCAGAGAGGTCCTGCAAGGGCATGTCAGTCTCCATGCACATCCACCCAGCTGCAGATGGGAAAGATGTGGGTGACTGTCCAGCCACATCAAACAGCCAAGAGGATGAAGTACATCCCACCCACAGGGTTCTGTGCAGACCCTGATGCCGGACTGGGGCTGTGGCGTGTTTTTAAACATACATAAGCCCCAAAAAATCCTCAAAACAAAAGAGCACTGGAGAGAGTTACTTTCTTCATTTTATCCAAAGGCATTTCTGAAAACATTTGGAATTACTGGAAAGGCTCACATGCACCTTTTGGGTATAAATCATCTTATTTTAAACCAAAGAGACAACAGTTTGCTCTAACCACAAACTAAAAACATAATGAAATGATTCATTTTTGTTCTCCGCTGCCTTAACAAGTTTTTTTTCAGTCTTTCTCCTGAAAGAAGGCTTCCCTCACACATGTTGTGAACACACACAACAAAGAGCCACTATGCTTACTGGCCAAGAAATGTTTATTGCTTAGTAATGCACAAAGGTAGAAGCTGGGAGCCACACTAGACAAAAAGAGAGAAAACCAATTAGGATTTTATTTGAAATCTGACTAAAACTACTTGGATACCATTTCTCTACAAAAGACTCGCCTTAGTAGGATTACCACTGAGCTAGACTTTTAAAAAAATGTGCATTCTGTGCGTTTTTACATGCCTGCAAAAAAAAAAAATCCACTGAAATCCTCACTGTTGGAGAGGAAGAGTGGACAGTATTAAAGCATCAACCCCCCACATTCAACTGGAGCACATACACATACCTGCACGCACCATAGATATGCATGCACAAACATAAGCCCAGCCAAAGAGCCAAAACGATGAGAAAGATCACTGCAGTCTGCAGGTTTTTCATACTTAGGCCCCATTTTCTTTAAAGGAAACCAGATTTTTAAATACTGAAAAAAAGTGCTTTTCATATGCAAGACAAAAAAAAAAAAAAATCAACACAGAACAAAGTTTATAAACTCTCGATAGGCAGGATTCTCACTAGCAGCAAGAGGAGGTCTCATGACTGGAATAAACTGTCTCTACGGGCAGCGTAAAGGAGCATCAGCATAAATACGAATCTGCCTGGGAGCATTCCTGGAGGGTGCGACACGAAACATTACCTTTCTGGTAAGAACGTGGATGCTGAGACCTCAGCAGATTGACTGTCCCTTCACTGTTGTAATTTTTCAAGTCATGATAAAAGATGCTTAAAATAAAAATAACTATCAAAGTAAAAATCTGATGCATGGTTAAGCTACTGGAACATTGGTGTTTGTTTTGTATCACATTTCCAATTGCAATC